AACATCAGCTCTGCCAGGTTGCAGATTCTAGTTCCTAGGGACTTCTGCCAGGGGACACAATAGGATCCCGGGGCCTCAATGAAGTTAAAGATGTGACCATCACCTGGTCTTTGGGCCTCTCCTGCTAGTGGACCAGCAGGCAATGAGAGTTACTGTACTGGCAAGGGTGATGCATTCTGACGACCATGAGGATTTAGGGCTGCTGCCACACAATGGGGCAGGGCTTTGTCTAGAATCCCCTGGGGTGTCTCTTGGGGTCTCCAGGCCCACTGATAACAGTAAATGGCACATGAACTAATCACAGCCCCACAAGGGCAAGGCATCCAAGGGCTCAGACCCCTTGGGGATAAAGTTCTGGATCACCCCAAAAGTAAACCAGACCAGCTGCAGCCTTGGACAAGGATAAATGTAGAATGGAGGTGACGAGGGCCCGGCTGCAGCAGCAGGGCCAGTAGCTTGTTTCATGAACCCTCTAAGTCTTCCAGACACTGGGCTAGGTCCCACCTTGAAGGGGACTCTAACTGGTTGGACCTAGCTCTCCCCTCTTCTCGGGGAAGAATGGGGAGAAAGGCAAGAGCACACCGGTGGTTTGAGGGATGGACTGTTCCAGACTAGCACCCCCTCAGCCCCTCTTGGCCTTACCTTCCTTTGTTCCAGCTCGGCCTGATTTGATGCGAGCGTGACCTACCAGCATCGCACCTCCTGCCACACTGTGCCCTCTCACCTCAACCACCACCCACTGTGGGCCCCAGCTTGGTGCCCAAGCCCTTAGATAAGCAACCCAGACGTGCAGATCAGTGCTCCATGGGTGAATCTTTAACCAAGGGAGACAGTGGATGATCTCCTTCCCCTATCTCCCCACCAGGTGCCTGGGTAGTGCAAACAGTTTGCACTTGGCTACCAACTGAAAGGTTGGCGGTTTGAGTCCACCTAGCAGCACCACAGCAGAAAGGCCTGGTGATCTGCTTCCGTGAAGATTACAGCAGCACAAAATAAAGGATATTACCCATGAGTACAGTGCTCCATTAAAAAACCATCTATATGAGAACAAAGGTCAACAATCACTCTAAAGCAAAGATAAAAAGATAAGGGGGCAGAGAAACTAGAGCACTGGAAATGGGACCACCAGAACACAATTAAGGAAAATGCTGACACATTGTGGAAAGTGTAACTGAGGTCACTGAACCATTTGTATAGAAATTGTCAAATGGGAACCTAATTTGCTGTGTAAGCTTTCATCAAAAACCCAATAAAATATTATTAAAAATAAAAAAAAGATTACGGCCAAGAAAACCCTACGGAGCAGTTCTACTCTGTAACACATGGGGTTGCCTTGAATCCAACTCTACAGCAACAGATTTGGTTTGGGTTTTTTTCTCCCCACCAAGGGAAAGTGCTGAGACTCATTGACAGCTTCTCAGGGCCAGTCTTGATCCAGCAGTCATATTTAGTGGTGGCCAATGCCGTCATGCATCCTTCTGCTGGCTCTCCCTCACTGCTCCTCTCTGGGCTGCCGCATAAAGTCAGAGCTCATGAGCTCTCTGCCGTAGGCTTTGCTGAAAACACTGGCTCAGACACCCTCCATGTGCTGACTCTCAAACATGTTCTTCTGGCCAGATTCTCCCCTCAACTCCAGAATAGGAACCTTAAACTTAATATATCTGAAACTAAACTACTGATCTGCCCCAAACCTGTGCCACCTGAAGCTTACCCCATCCAACCATGTGCCAGGACAAAAATCTTGAGTCATCCTTGACTCCTCTGTCTGCTAACCCCCTATAGCCAGTCTGTCAGCACCTCGTATCCTTTCTATCTTCTAAAGGCATCCAGAACCCGACCACTTTCCACCATCTCCATCACCACCACCCTGGCCCAACCTCCCCTGCCTGGAAGGTCGCCTTCGGCTCCTCACTGCTCTCCCCTGCTTCCATCCTTACTTTCTGTTGTCTATTTTCCATACAGCAACACATAGCAGGAGCTCATATTTTGCTGAATGAATGAACTTCCTCACCTGTAGAAAAGGGAAATAGAGCACAGGGTTTTTGAGAGGATTTCTGCTCCTGCATAAATATCTAACACATGCTGAGCTCTCAATAAAAGGTGGCTGTTGTTATCTCCAGCCTAAGAGTCTGACTCAGACCGAAAGCCGTGACCATGAGGAATGCTGACGTCTGCCTGCAAGGAGGCCCTGCTTCGGGAGAATCCTGACTAACCAGATGATGTCCCTGATGGGGCTGCCTGGGTTGTCTCCAGGGCACTTGGAACAGAGAGATGCATTCCTGGCTACATACTCTGTGATTAACTGAGGACCGGAAGTCCCAGCCGCTCCAATTCCCCAGAGCTCTCCGTGAGTGCGGGAGGTAGTCTGAGAACCCGCAGGAATTAGTCCAGCTCCGACTGGGGATAAACAGCAGTGCTGAATAAGGCAACGAGGTTTTGAAGACCTTTTCTGAACTACAGTTTACAACTCCAGAGTAGCTGACCAATTTAGTGGGTTGTAAAAAGCATGTTCTTCATGACAGAAAACAGCTGTGACATGAAATATCCAGAATAGGCAAATGTATAGAGATCAAAATTTATTAGTTGTTACCAGGGGTAGAAAGGAGCTCTAGAGACACAATGGGTAAGTGCTTGGCTGCTAATCAGAAGGTCAGCAGTTTGAACCTACCCAGCGGCTCTTTGGGAGAAAAGTCATCAGCTCCCATTAAGATTATAGCCTAGGAAACACTATGGGGCAGTTCCACTCTGTCCTACAGGGTCGCTATGAGTTGGAATCAACTCGGTGGCACACAACAACAACAAGGGGTAGGAAGGAGGAGAAAGAGGAAAGAGGGAGTCTTTGTTTAAGGGGCACTGAGCTTAAGGGTGACGGAAAAATTTGGAAATGGATAGTGGTGATGGTTGCACAACATAACGAATTAACATCATTGAATTATGTACATAAACAATGTTGAAATGGCAAATGTTTTTTGTGTGTGTGTATATGTATACATATATATAGTTTACCACAATAAAATAATAGCTGTGCATTGCAGGAAAACGCTAATGATTAATTTAAAATTTATTTTCAGTTTTTGTACAGGTTCATGATTATTTCTAATTATGGGTCAGGGTACAAAAACAAGTTTGAAAGTCATCATCTAGCTTATAGGCTCTGGGAAATACAGGCTTGGGCTCAAATCAAGGCCCTGCCACTGCCCAGCTGCTGGGACATGAGCTGGTCCTAACCTCTCAGGGCCTGGTTTTCCACAACAGAGCTAAAAATGCCCACCTCCGGTGGTGGTGAATACACTTGAAAGCACCTAGTGCAGTGCCTACCCAAAGGAGGTTTTCAGTAACATTTGTTAGTTCTGTCCTCACACACAAGAGGGCTGACAAATGTTGGGACAGTGTTATTCGGACCAAAACCAAACTAAACCCATTGCCGCCGAGTCGATGCCAGTCATGGTGACCCCATGTGTTACAGAGTAGAACTGAGCTCCATAGGGGTTTCTTGGCTGTAATCTATGGAAGCAGATTGCCAGGGCTTTCTTCTGCAGCACTGCCGGGTGGGTTTGAACCGCCAACCTTTTGATGAGTAGATGAGTGCAAACTGTGCCACCTAAGGACCTTTTGTTATCAGAACAGGACTTATTAATTCAATGAATCCCCACTGAGCTCCGACTCTGTGCCAGGCAGAAATCGATAAACAAAACCAAGAAGTCTCTGCCCTTGCAGAACTTACATTTTAGTAGGTGGTGACAGAAAACAAACATAATCTTAAGTTAGACAACTGCTATGAAAAATATGTATATGACATATATTGCAGGGTCCTAGGAATGCCAGGGAATGGGGAAGAGGGATTTTAAATATTGGGGTCTGGGTAGAACTCATTGGGGTGACACTGGAGCAGACTCAGAGGTAAAGGAGTTAGTTACTGTGCAGACACCTGGAAAAATGGGCAGAGGGTCAGCCAGGATAGACGCCTTAAGGAGAAAGTGTGCTTAGCATGTTCAAGAAGCCAGTGTGGCTGAAGCAGAGGGAGCAAGGGGTGTGAGGTGGTCAGAGAGGGGATGGGGGCCAGATTCCTGAGGGCTCTGCAAGGAGTTGGGCCTCGATTCTGAGCAGCACGGGAAGCCCTAGCTGTGCTGTGAGCAGAGAAGTAACACGAGCCAAGTTCTACTCTACAAGGTCTCTCTGGCTCCTCGCCATAAGCGGGCAGGATGGGAGGAGGGAGACAAGTTAGGAGGCTCTGGTGGTAACCTGGGTCAGCCTGGGGTGGGGTGGGGAGAAGCAATCAGATATGTTATGACGATAAAGACTGATGGATTGGACGCAGCATGTATGATGGGGTCCAGGATGACACCCAGGTCTGAGGCCTGGGAAACAGGAAGGATGAACCACCACCAACGGAGATATGGAGGACTCGAAAATGAATGAGCAGCGGTACAGGGCAGGACAGCTCAGTGCACAGTGCCAGGGACGAGGTAACAGCATGTGGTTGGGCAGGGAAATGGACTTGCGTCACGTCCTTAGCCACTACAGAGGGCCCTTCCAAAAAAGACCAAAACAAGTCGCAACCAAATTCTCAGGAGGCAAAGTAACGTGAAGCAAACTGAGTCATTACTTTTAAGTGTGATGAACGGTTTGGAGTTACAGAGAAATCTGTAGAGAAACCACTCTAGATTTCCTGGTCCTTAGAGATAAGTTACACCATTTGTTCTTCTGAGATTATCAGATTCCTTCCAAAGTAAGGAGGAACCCATAGGCAGATCAAAGTGGGAACTCCCCCTAAACAAAGTTAAGGTCACTTGAAAATACAGCCTGTGAATTGACAATAGCAACTCAAAAGAGTAGATAGGAAACTTAGGGGCAGTAAGTACGCTGACGGGGAAGAAACAATTCAGAAAAAAGGAAAGTGAGAATGATTGCACAACTTGAAGAAAGTAATAATGTCACTGAGTTGTACATGTACAGAATCTGTTGAACTGGTGTATGCCCTGCTGTGTATATTCTCAACAGCAATAAAATAAATTATTAAATACATATGTATATACATATATATACCCTGTGGACTTGCTCATGTCAAAGAGAAGTTTGCATGAGAACAGTAAAAGACAAGGTAGAGAACCCCACAAAGGGTTTCCAACTATGCTTTATTTCTGTGTCCATATTATCAGCAATGATACAGGAGTAATTCAGGCAAGTATATCCCCTTAAATACATCAGAGAGAAAACTCATGGTGTCAAGCATGTCTTGCGCTCTAACGAATGAAAAACAGAGAACAAACGTAGCAGCATTAAATTAAAGTGCCTTTTGCCAAACTTCTTTCAGAAAGAGTCTCTCCCTCAGTGGTATAAATTTAATTGTACTTGTTACATAAGTAGCTTGGGCTTCCATTCATCCCCCAGGGACTATATCCAAAAAATTCATGTGTGGGGTTATTTTAAATAATTATTTTAAAAGAGCACAAAATTCACTGGAATTGTGTGACACTGATTTTTCCTGACACACTGTGAGGAAGCCGCCATCCAGGCCTGGCAGAATGCTCAGAACATCCTCCCACCACGTGTCCACCTTGGCAAAGTCCATTTCTTTGTGTCACACAATAGGGTAGACCGAGGCTTGAAGGACAGCAGGTACGTGGAGAGGACATCATCCATTTCCTCACCACCCCCATCAGTGACAGCGACCACCCACTCTTCTCCCCAAAGATAGACGATGGCTGGAATTAGAGCCCAGCAGGAAGAACTCCACTGCTGCCTGAGCCTCTGCCAGGGGCTCTTTGCTGGGTGAGGCATTGCTTGCTCCACGAGGACACTCTCTGGCCTGTGCTTCAAAGGCTCTGCCACCCAAAGGCTGCTTTCCCAGACAGTTAACAACTCGGGGACAGGAACCTGCCCCACTTCAACCAGTATAACAATCCCCGAACTCAACAACAGAAAACATTTCTCAAGGTCAACATGAAGCCAAATGTGTGTCAGTCTGAGGCTCTGGGAATTAGGGGAGGATGGGTGTTAGGTTTCCCACACTTTCTTGGGGCCAACTGCAGAGTCACTGGCCCAGGAGACTTCCTCCAGAGGACAGGTAGGCAAGGGCAGCTGGGGCTGCGGGGGGATCTCTAAGGGACATAACACGGGATGCAATCAAGCTAACTGGGTGGGGGCTCTCAGGCCCCATAAAACCCCCACAGAGAAAGGTCCAACAGAAGCCCTGTTCCGGGTTGACTCCACAGTCTCCAGCTGTCCTAGGTGGAGCTCACTCCTCTCAGCCTTTGCCAAGGTCCCCTCCTTCTGCCATACTTTCTTCTACAACATCCTTTAACAAATCTAAACCGAACTATCCTTCATCAACAGTAACACCAGACTGCACAGGCCACGGACTAAAACTACAGCAAGGGACACAATAGGGAGGAAGAGGGAGTCTCTCCTTGTCGTGGTGACAGCTACCTCTACGCCCCTCTCCCAGGCTCCTCTCACCCCTCAGCTCCCCTGCAGAATCCTCCCTACCCCTATGGCAGGGGCCAGCCTATCTCAATCCAAGCACCAAGCCCCGTCACAAAGACTGGTGCGAAAGGCTCCGCAAATGTGAAGGATGAAAGCTGAAGGCCCAAAGCGACACGGCCACGTCGTTCTGAGATAGACTCAGCCTTCCTGGAAAGATGCAGTCTGGGAAAAATCCAACTGTCCCCAAGGCAGCCTCTCTCTGCAGGTGTGCCGGGGGGCAAGAAGGGCAGGTATGCATGGGCCAGAAGGAGGTGGGTGTCTGTCTGATCCCGTTAAAGTCTCCACCAGACACCCTGCAGTGCTGAGAGCCACAGACCTGATCAAGCAACCGTAGGAGTCTCAATCGGGAAGCCTACAAGCAGAGGAGATGTGGCGCCCACTCCTTAGTACCATGCTGTCCCTCGTCACCAAAGTCTCCTGGAGGGGTAGGAGGCCAAGATCTTCCTGCAACAGCAGGCAGGGCGGGGGGAAAACAACTAGTGCTTAAGGGCTCAAAATATTACAAGACAGGGTGCTTTCATTCTCACGGTGGCACCTGGTCAGGAGCTGCACGTGCCCCTGGGGGACCCCACGCAGCGCTGAAGGGCCACGGCCCCGCCCGTCTCCATGCAGTCTCTGGCTCCAATGGCAGCCCACTATCTGCTGGGCTGCAAGTACTGGTGTGTGAACATGTTGAGTTCACTGTCCAACCACCCAGCTTTATTCCTGCAAAGAAACGGTTACTTTGTAGCAATAAGAGCTGATAACAGGAAACAATAACACTATGTGTCAAGCACAGTTCTAAGGATACTTGACGTGTCCTCTTTTAATCTTCCCATAACCAGCTTACCCCCATTTTACAGATGAGGAAAATGAGACTCAGAGACGTTGCATAACTTTCTAGGGTCATATGGTTAATAAGTGATGGAGTTGAGAGCCCAGTTTTTTTTTGACTCTCGAGTCCTGTGTTTAGTTCAGCCTGGGACCATGGACAAGTCCCCTCACTGCTAGAAACTGCTTTCCTATTTGTCAAGCCCCTTGAGGTATTGGACAGCTGATCTGCAGCCCTTCCCAGGTCCTACTGTCCCTGTGGCTGACAAGAGGCAGCAGAAACACCTCCACACACACCCCTGGGATTTCCCAGGGGATAAGCAGCCTGGAAGATGGCTGTCCATGGGGCAGGGAGGGGCACCTGCACAGTCGAGGGCGGGGAAAGTCCACTTATCTGGTGAGGGGGTTGGGGTTGTACCCTTTGAGGCAGCTCCCCTCTGGCTCTGACGTCAGGGGCGGGGGCAGGAAGTGCAGGGTCCCCGTGGGCTGATGTTATCACGGGCTGTGGGCTTTTACAGAGCACTTTTACACTGAGCTCTGTGGCTGTGTTATGAAATCTCACTCCCATTTTATGAGGGCAATGAGACACAGGAGAGTGAAGTGGTTTGCCCAAACATGAGGGCCTGGATGAGGGCCCAGGACTCCTGGCTCCTTAGACTGATACTCTTTCCAGCAAACTGTGAATGGCAGCTCTAAGTTTACAGGGAGACACCACAGGGATGTGGGTTCAGATCCTGGCCTACCAGTCACCGGCTCAGCCCAGCTTCCCTGTGGTGAAAAGGGTGAGACGCCCCCTTGCCTGGGCCTGAACAGGAATGAAGGACACACAGAGCCCTAGCGGACAATGAAGGAGAGCCAGTGTGCAGAGTGTCAGAGGGTGCAGGAGCCAGCACCCCTGCGTTCTACCCTAGCTTGACCAGTAACTGAGATTCCAGACAGGTGACCTAACCTCTGTAGGCACCAAATTTCCCATTTATAAAATGGAGATCATGGTACAACCCTCAAAGGGCGCTGGAGATCGAGTGAACAGCACATGTAAAGCGCCTGAGACATCAGTTAAGTAAGAGTAAAGGTGCGGGTTGTGACATCATGGCACTGTGATGCCTGGCTCTTCTGCTGTCACCTCTACCTCAGCCACAAGCACCTTGAGGGCAGTGACTAGCATCTTGCTGAACTCCCAGCACTGGCGCCATGTCAGGCGCCTATCAGGCACCCAGCACACATCTCACACGAGTGAGCTAAACCCCCTAGACAGGCTGTCCATGCCCAAGACACAGCCAAGCAGCCAAGCTGCCAGGGCCTGGGCTGCATGCCAGCCTTACCTGAGTAGCTTTGCTTTGCTCTGAAGTGAATCAAGAACCTCAATTTTCTTGTTCATGGCAGAAATTTCCTGCTCCAGGTTCTCCCGGGTGATGTCAACTTGCTGGCACAAATGAGCAAAAGTCCCAGAGAGTTCCCTGCAGGGGAAAGAGCTGGGATAAACCAGGCTGTGCCACTGTTTGTGCAGGCCGTGGTCACTGGCTAGATGAGACCCAGAGCGGGGCAGATCTGGGCCCTTCGGCAACCCACTGGCAGCTCTGCCCTGCGCCGGTCCTGTTGAAGCGGTAAACAATCATAACTACCCAACATGCACCATCATGGCACTGTGAGAAAGGGGACCCAGAGTAGGGCACCAGCTTTGCCACAACAGACCAGGCCTCTGATGCTGGCTCTGCTACTAACTGGCAGGGGACAAGCAACCACCCTGCAAGTCTCTGTTTCCTCATTCTGAAAAAGGGGATGCCAATAAAAACAATGTGTGCCTCATAGTGTTGGAGGAATAAATTAAAAAACAGGTGTAAAATGCTTAGCAAAGAGTCTGGCACACAACAATAAAAAGAGGCAGTGACTGTATTCATCCCCCACCACCCCGAGGTAAGCAACAGATTCAACCTGACCCAAGATCTGCCATGAAGAATAGGCTGTGATTGAGGATTTCAAAGCTAGATCCACAGCCCAAGCCCTTAACGCCACCTCTAAAAACTCTTGTTAATGTCTCGTCTTCTCATTACTACCTTCCTTGGGGGAACAGAAGCCTACTCAGTCTCAGCCAGGACACACACAGGTGTCCCTGAAGAGACCTCTCTCCCCACCCCGGCCTCAAAGCTGGCCCCGCACAGCTGAAAGCGCAGGGTCAAGGATGCCCAGGACCCCACTGCGGCTGCCAGGGGATTCAGTGCTGTGTTTTTGTGGTAGTTTCCGGGCTAGGATGGAAGGGAGCTGGGACTGACCCCACCCAGGGAAGTCCTGAACCATGGGAGTGGGAGCTGGCCTCTCGGGGCTGACAGGCCCACTCACTGCTGGACTTGGTGGCTGCAGTTGGAACCAGTGTAGCTGATGATGAGCTGCAGCTTCTCACTGGCATACTCCACAAACTGACGCTTGAAGGCCCTCTCCTTGGCCTTGGTGGTCCAGGTCAGGCGCTCGTAGACATAGAGGAGGCCGTAGAGCCCAAAGGAAAGGGCGATGAGCCGCCAGCCCACTGCCTTCCACACCTGCGGAAGCACAGCGGTCAGCCCGGAGCATAGCGCCCCTGCAGCCCTACCGCTTCCCCTCCTCTCTGGTCTGCCACTGCCGCGACCTTCCAAACAGCCTGGCCAAGAAGCACTGTGCTTCTACTCAGAACTTCTTTCCAAATGTCTTCTTTGATCCCGCTGAGGCCAGAAGGGCAAGGATCATCTCTAGTTTGGAAATGAGGGAAATTTCGTGTTGGACACATGATGTGGCTTGTGCAAGGTGTGGGAATTAGGACCAGACCATGGATCTGGTACACAGATAAACACGGGCATGTTCTGATGAACTGACAACAAAAATTCCACCATCATTCCTCAGCAGATAGCTTCCTTTGGTCTGGTTTGCAATACTTTTGCACAAGGCAGTGCAACTCCAGTCAAACAGTATGCTGGAAACCCAGGTTCAGGGGATGGGGGGTACCCTCCTGACTGTGAGAAGTTTCTCTGCATCTGTTTCCTCACTCACAAGTGGGCGTGATGGTCCATGCCCATTTCACAGAGCTGTGCAGGTAAAACAAGATACTGTAGAAAGTTACATAACCATCAAGTGTTACCAGCTGAGCCCATGACCCTCTGCCAAGTCAATGTGTGTGACAAAAGGGCAAGAGCATGTACCGTCTGCAGTCCCAGAGGGAGAGGGACCTTGGCTCTGTCCCCACCCCAGCCCCACACACTGGGAAGGTCTTCATTACAGCTACACTCTGTACAGTCACACTCTACAACGCAGACTTCCATGACAAAGAGAACTTGCCACATCACCAAGACAATCTGAGCTGCAGTCAGGACACAAGGAGTACCCCAATTATCAAGAAGACAGACTTTTATCTTGGGCCTCTGGGGGAAAAGGAAAGGCAGGAGATGGAGAGACGAGGGTTCAAGTCCTGCCCTGGCCTATTTTGTCTTCTACCCTTGCAAGTCATGTTCTTGATTTCTTCATCTACCAACAGGAAACTCCCTGTCATGCCCACTTATCTAGAACCCAGGTTTGCCAATTCCTTAGGTCACTTCCTACCCACCTGTGTAGTACAGGCCCTACAGCAAAAGGCCATGGGCTTGGAACAACATGGGGCCAGAGGTCTAATTGTAGCTATATGTCTCCTACAAATCACTTATCCTAGAGTTCTTCCTCATCTATAAAACAGGAATGGTGCTATCTAAAAGCCATATTAATTGAGTGAGGCTTAAAGTAAATAAATACACATTAAAGGGCTAAGGCTGCACAGCTCTCCACGAGATCCAGTGAAGTCATCAATGAATGTGAAAATGCTTTGCTCACTGTGAAGTGCTGGGCCAACACAGGGACCACCACCAGACCTAGGTCCCTCAGTCCCCACTCGCCTGCCTGCCCCACACTCCCCACCCTCCCCGGGCAGGGCTTGTCACTGACCACCCCTCCAACGACGAGAATGCCCATGGAGGTCCTGGACGTCAGCGAGGCCAGGCCGGTCACCATGGAGACCATGAGCTCTTCTTGAGTGAGTGAGCCCTGCGGCAGGGGGGGCATGCTGGGGTTGGCTGGTGTCAGAGGGACGGGACGCTGAACCTGAAGAGAGAAACGATGAAAGGGGTAAGAAGAATGTGGCGAGTCTCTCATTCAATCAAACCTCGGCGACCCTCAAGCCAAGGGCGCTGAAGCAGGGACACAGAGAGTGGCTCTTCAATTTCTAAAAGGTAAAAAGGCAGAAAATGAGCTTTGCATACAGCCAAGGACTTAAGCTTTTAACAGACCTGCCAGCTCAAAGGTGAGTGCCCAGGATACCACAAAATACAAGCAGAATCCTTCAGCATTTTCCCAAAGTGTAGGACGTGTACAAGAACTCAGTGATAACTAAAGCAGTATATAGATGAATACTTCTAAAATCTAAATTTTAAAACGGTGGTATATAGATGGATAAGGCACCCTGGTGGTGCAATGGTTAAGTGCTCAGCTGCTAACCAAAAAGTCAGTAGTTTGAACCCACCAGCCACTCCACAGGACAAAAGACCTGGCGATCTGCTTCTCTAAAGATTACAGCCTCGGCAACTCTACGGGGCAGTTCTACACTGCCCTATAGGGTCACTATGGGAATCAACTAGACAGCACACAACAACATACAGATGGATAATTTTAAAATAACCTATATGTAAGAATTACATACTTAATGTGTATCAGAAAAAATACAGCTAACATTTGTAATTTCAAAAATATGATTGCTTAGAATAAAATCACATTTATCTGTGGCAAACACCTTGCCCATGGCATACCACATGGTGGCATATGCTGCCACCATTGTTGACCTCAGGTTCTCTCAACCTCGTTTCAGAATGGTCCCTGTGTCTGAAGGCAGGTACAGACACGTGACCTCCTCGATGGCCCTGAGGGTGAAGAGCTTTGCTTGCCTGGTCGTTGTAGCCCATCAAGGCCCGACGGCTGTTCTTGGGGCCCAGGAACCTATTCACAAGCATGGTCCACCCAAGAGAAAAGTGGAACTCGATGTCCTCCTGAAAGTCAGCACATAGCTTGTCACAGTTCAGGTCGTAGCTGAGGGAGAAGCACTGCCGAGGGACCAGCAAGTCTATCTGGCTCCGCACAGACACGGGAAGGAGGGGCTTCAAGCCATCTGCAGGGAACAGAAATGGAGAGAAGGCATATCAGCTCGGCCTGGTACCATGCCAGTGCCACGTCTTCAGTCAGCCAAGGAGGATGTGGAACAGCTCTGCACAGACACCACGCCCAGGATGGATGCCTGTAGGTCTGAGACGGCCCTGCTCTCGGAGGGCAGGCCAGGACCCCAGGGCTTCGCAGGTTGAGGCTCCAAACCTGCCAAGCATTTACACCTCATGCGGGGCTAAGGAACAGGCAAAATTCTCAGCCTATCACAGTCGCATGTGGTAACACGAGATGGGTTCTCCAGGTCTATGTACAGAATGAATTCACGACCTATACCCAGAACCTGAAGGTACTGAGTTGAATCATCATAAAAGGTTGACAGATAAAGAAAGGTCATTATTTCTTTAGCTTGGCCTCCAGATCTGATCTCTGGGCAGCCCCCAGGTCCCAACTACCCACTCCCCTGGGGTACTGACCGATCATCTCCTGCTGCATAGTTTGTAGGGAGCTGGTGATAGCTGTGGAGCAGCGGTCTGACATGTTCCGGCCCAGTCCCTCCTCTATATGGCGGTGCAGCTCCTGCCAGCAGAGAGGGAAGGTGAAGAGAAGAAACACCACCCCCTACACCAGCCAAAGGATGAGGAGATCCTGAGGGTGGCCAGCCCCACGCCCACCAGATGACCCTGGAAGGCTGAGTAAAGCTGGGTCTCACCTCCCTGGCTTCCACTTCCACTGATGAAGGGCCCTGACCCACACCAGCTGTGGCTGAGTCACTGCCTGCCTGGCAAGTCTACCCAACAGCCAAAAAGAGTGAAGGTGGACCCCCGCCAAGAGCACCTGAATGACTCACGTTCTTATAAACCTTGAGAACCACTGGAGAGGGGTGAAAATCCATCTGGTAATCGTCCACCAGCACAGAAAGGCGTCTAATCTCCTCTGCCATTGCAGTCGACACCTACAGCAAAGGAAGCAGCCATCAACTATCTAGGAGGAAAGGTGGTACACTTCTGAAGCACCAGGAGAGACTCTAAGACTGTAAATCCTTCCTCTCAAACCAGTGGTTTCCTCAGCTGATCTGTGGAACTGAAGCTTTTTGAGATAAAAGGGACCTTAGCGACTGGCTGATCAAATGCCCAAACAGATATGGAGGAGGAGGCCCAGAGAAGGGAAGACTTGCCCAGGGTCACACAATGGGACAAGGGAATCCTAGGGGAGGCTCCATGTTCGTAGGCTACAACTGCCTTCCGGAAGCGTGAGAAGACCCCAAAGACGAGGACGTTTGCTTTCAATTTCCTGTACCTTGGACCCACTCTAAGCCCAAATCTCTCCAAAGGGGCTTCCTCCTGTCACTCACCTGCCTTTCCACTTCCTCTGTAATCTGCTTAATTCGAACTTTGTAGTCCTGAGCCAAGAGCTCCAGCTGTTTGTCAATAAAGCTCAGCCTGTCTTGCCGCTCTTCGCGCATTTCCAGGCAGTAAACCCTGAGAGCAAAGAGCGCTGGTTAGAGACCCACATTCCCACCAGACTAACAGAAGAGCAAGAGGGACGCCACGAACACGCACATGCCCCTCAGCCACCCTGGCCACGGCAGAGTTCACGCACGTACCCAGAGGCATGAGCCTACTGCTCACTCCTATCTCCCCCTTGGAAGATGTGGTGGTGACGGAGGGGAGGGTGTGCTTTAAGGGGGTTCAGAACAAGCTCTGCCAGTGAGTACAGGACAAAACGCTCACCCTCACTAGTAATCAGGGAAATGAAATTAAAAAAGAGGCACCACTTTCAACCCAGAAGCTTGGCAAAAATGATGAAGTCTAAAGTACTGGTGAGGGTGTGGGGAGACAGGAGTTCCTGCATGTGCTGCTGTGAGACCATGAGTGGGCACAGCTGTGCAGGAGAGCAACTGAGTAAAACTGAAAATGCAGACAGCCTAAGAGGGAACTGTTCCATCTCTAGGAATTAATCCTAGAAAGACTTACAAATGTGCACAAGGGGACCCATGAAGAGATGTCCACTGCAATGAGGTTTGCAATAGCGAAAAAAATGAAGTCTAAATATCAATGGGAAAAACAAGGTATAGTCAAAATGGAATATGCTACAATAATGAAAAAGGGGCCCTGGTGGCGCAATGGCTAAGCGTTCGCCTGCTAACTGAAAAGTCAGTGGTTTGAACCCACCAGCATTTCTGTGGGAGAAAAGACCTGGCAATCTGCTCCTGTAAAGATTATAGCCTGGGACACCCTATAAGGTAGTTCTACTCTGCGTCAGAACTGATTCCATGGCACACAACAACAGTAATTAAAATCAATAAACTCAAACAATGTGTATCAAGAATAAAGCGCAACATATGTACACCCATGTTCATTGCAGCATTGTTCGCAATAGCAAAAAGATGGAAACAACCTAGATGCCTGTCAACAGAAGAATGGATAAACAAACTATGGTACGTACACACAATGGAGTATACACAATAAAGAACAATGATGAATCTGCGAAGCATCTCACGACATGGGTGAATCTGGAGGGCATTATGCTGAGTGAAATAAGTAAATCACTAAAGGACAAATAATTGTATGAGACCACTACTATAAAAACTCATGAAAAGGTTTACACACAAAAAGAAATAATCTTTTATGGTTACGAGGGAGGGGAGGAGAGGGGATGGAAAAACACTCACTAGACAATAGATAAGTGGTAACTTTGGTGAAGGGTAAGACAGTACACAATACTGGGGAAGCCAGCACAACTTGTCCAAGGCAAGAACATGGAAGCTCCACAGACACATCCAAACTCCCTGAGGGACTGAATCACTTGGCTGAGGGCTGTGGGCACTGTGGTCTCAGGGAACATTTAGCTCAATTGGCATAACATAATTTATAAAGAAAATGTTCTATGTTCTAGTTTGGTGAGTGGCGTCTGGGGTCTTAAAAGCTTGTCAGCAGCCATCTACGATACTCCACTGGTCTCACCCCATCGGGAGCAAGGGAAAGATTAGTCCAAAGGACTAATGGACCACAACTACCACAGCCTCCACCAGACTGAGTCCAGCACAACTAGATGTTGCCCGGCTACCACCACTGACTGCTCTGACAGGGATCACAACAGAGGGTCCCAGACAGAGCTGGAAAAAAATGTAGAACAAAATTCTAACTCACAAAAAAAGACCACACTTAGAGGCCTGACAGAGACTGGAGAAACCCTGAGAGTATGGCCCCTGGACACCCTTTTAGCTCAGTAATGAAGTCATTCCTGAGGTTCACCCTTCAGCCAAAGATTAGACAGGCCCATAAAACAAAACAAGACTAAAGGGGCACAACAGCCCAGGGGCAAGGACTAGAAGGCAGGAAGGGACAGGAAGCTGGTAATAGGGAACCCGAGGTCGAGAAAGGAGAGTGTTGACATGTCGTGGGGTTGGTAACCAATGTCACAAAACAATATGTGTACTGTTTAATGAGAAGCTAGTTTGTTCTGTAAACCTTCATCTAAAGTACAATTTAAAAAAAAAAAAAAAGAATAAAGTGCAAAGTCAATGCTGAGTGGAAACAAAAGGAAGGTGCAGTAGGCACACGGTATGATACCTTATCTGTACATTTGAAACAGGTGGTAAGCAGCATTACATATTCTTCAGGAATGATATAAAAAGTATTTTTAAATGGAGGGTAAGACTACATATCAAATTCATGCCTCTGAGGAGTGGTAGTGAAATTGGGATGGGGCAGAAGAATCAAACGGGATGTGTAATTTTTTTTCTCTGTTTATTTTAACTTGGGAGTCCCTGGGTGGTACAAGTGGTTAATGCACATGGCAGCTAACCGAAAGACTGGCAGTTCAAGTCCACCCAGAGGCACCCTGGAAGAAAGGCCTGGCGATCTACTTCTGAAAAACCTGCCATTGAAAAACCATATGGAGCCCAGTTCTACTTTGACACACACGGGGTCACCAGGAGTCAGAATCAACTCAATGGTAACTGGTTTCAACTGGTACTTTAACTTAAAAATAGTATCAAGCAAATATTAACTGTCAATTCCACGTAGTGGAAGCAAGGTGTTTTTATATTATTCTCTGTACTTTTCTATGTTTTAAATCCTCCCCTCACCCCCCAGGAAGAAAAAAAAAAACATGTTCTGCATAAAGTTCTCAAAATGCCGCTAGTGCAGCCTGGCACAGACCTGGAAGCCTCCACCATGGGTTTGCAGGGGTGGCATTTCAGTGGCTCATGGCCTACAGGCCAGGCTCAGGAGAACGGGCACCAAACCCCCTCCTCACCAGTCTGCTCCAGGTAGACCTACTATGGTCTGGTGACTAGTGGAAACGGCTCTGGATGGGAACCCAGAGATTCTGCTCTGCCATCAGGGAGATGGGACCCAGGGTCCGTTACAGCTGCCCCAGACAGTGTTGAGCACAATCACTTCTCAGCACCCGCTGCCGCCTGTCCAGTCCTGGGTTCTTACCGCTGCTCCTGCGCCGCAATGTGCAGAGAGTCCATGATGAGGCGCACAGCCTCTGCGATCTGCTTGGCCCGGACCGTGTGCTGCTCAAATTTGGTCTTCACTGCAGACTGGGAGATGCACTCCTGCAAAAGAAGAGGCGGTGAGGGAGGCAGGGGCCACCTCGGGCTACAGCCAATGCCAGGCTCTGGCTTTCACTGCCAGGGACATGGCCATGTGAGCTGTGGGAGGCACAGATTGCCAGACCCCAGAATAAAAGGGCTTACCTCAAATCGTCTCTCAAAATTCTGAAACTCAAACATCCTCACTTGAAAGCCTTCTGCAAGAGCACCCCCTAGGAGAATTGCAAAGCATTAGCCCGGAAATTAGCAGCCCAGGAAAATGACACAATCATCCAAAGCCAACCCCACCCTGGCCCTCTGCAGACACTGGCTAGAAGGCACAGAGCCTCTCACCGTGCATTTTCCACCATCTCATCCTCAGAATATTTTCTACTGACTGACAGCATGAGACCAAACCTCTCCAAACTTCAGGGAGAAGGAAACATTTTTGTTCCCATTGTTACCTCCTTCTGGCATGCCTTGGGCTTTCTGGATCCTGGCATTGAGCACCTCTTTGGCAGACACGAAAAAGATGCGGTCCCCAGCCTGGGCTCGATCCACCACACCCAGTTCATCTACCAGGAAGCTGGTACAACGTTCCATGTGCTGCCGCCGCACCTGGAACCCAAGCAGATGGGTGTGTGTAACAGGGCTTGGGTGTGTGTGCATGGGTATACGTGTGACCATGTGTGTAGGTGGGGGGGGGGGGCCTTCAGAGAGAGCCCCAGGCCCCAACTGCCTTTTTAAATCAGTAATATAGTCACATGGTTCAATATTCAAGAGGTAGAAACACATACACCGCGCAACATCTCTTGCCCATCTGTTTAGCCACCAAGCTTCCCAGAAGAACCAATGCCATGAGGATTTCTTGGGGGTATATCCTCCCAAAGGTATTTTATGCATATATAAGCAGGGTCAGCGAAAAAGAGGAAGACCCTCAATGAGATGGACTGATATAGTGGCTACAACAATGGGCTCAAGCATAATGGTTGTGAGGATGGCGCAGGGCCAGGCAATGTTTCGTTCTGTTGTACAAAGGGTCACTATGAGTCGGAATCGACTCGACAGCACCTAAGAACAACAAAACATAAGCAGAAATGTTTACATATTCCCCAAACTGCCTCTTGTTAGAGCCTACGGCATCTCACTCTGCTGCCCTAGAAGGAAAGGGCCTTCGGAGTTAGGAAACCTAGGCTCCACACTCTGCCAAGTCAAGCCCTCCCAGGGCCTTGCTTATAAAACGGGTGAGCGCCATTAGAAAATCACATCTAGCTCTGAGGTCCTAGTATTCTATTTATAGAACTTAAAAATAACAATAGCCTCTTGTGGACACCTACCACGTGCATGGCACCCTTCCACATGCTAGCACATTCCATCCTCCCAACGACTCTACGTATTAAACTCATCTCACAGGTGAGGAAATTGAACTACCAAAAGGCTAAGCAATTTACCAAAGTCACACTGCCACACGTCAGCCAGAATTTGGACTCAGCCTGCTGACTGCATACTATATGACCCACTATCACCAACAGCTTACCGCTTTTCTTTCATTCCACATAAAAAGTGAAGCACTATGAGTTGTTGGTAAGAACCAGCTATTCTCCATTCCTTTTTTAAGACTCTTTCCTGAACATCTTCCTAAAACTGAGCCTGTTCTTCACTGATTAAACCTTCATGAGCAAAATGAACATCTGGCCCCAAACAAGGATGAGCTAATGCAGTAGCGATGACATCAGATATGCGTAAAAGCCTTTCAAAAAGGGATCGACCTAGGAAAGTGAATGGGAGAAGGGGAGTGTTTTTAAAGCAATAAGACACTACTGTGTCTCCAGGGAACACCTGGGGAGTCTTTGGTGATGAAATTAACTCAGGGAAATCACTAGACCTAATGACACCTAGGCATGCACACTCCAGCCCTGTGTAAACCGTGTTCATACAAGTGGCATTCTCCAAACAAGCAAATAAAAAGGCACCAACCTCCTCCATGTACTCGGGCTCCGAGGCAGATGCGTCCCAGCGGTTGTTCAGGATGAAGATGTTTGGGCGGGAGAGGCGCTCGCTCACCTTGTGGAAGAACTGCTTCTCCTAGACAAGGGAACAAGGCCTCAGTGGAGGAGGGGCTGTGTCCCCGAAGGCCTCGCAGCCCATATGCCCAGCTGGAACCCGGGAGTGTGGAGTGAGGCCGAGGAGGGCTTACCGTCTGCATCAGGGTGGACTCTGAGTTGGCCACCAGCACAAACACATCAGCATCCAGGCAAAACTTGTCAATCCAACTGTCCAGCTCTGTGGTGACGTCAATACCAGGGCTAAAGGTGACGGGGTAAACCAACATCGTCAAGCTCACATAGCCATGGGCCCTATTCTTCCTGCTTTGAAAGACCTGGGGTTTGCAAGGCAGTCAGAAAAGGAGCAGAAAGCTAGGGAGAGATATCTGGCCTGACCCTTACAGTGGGAGGAGTTTTACTTTTCATTTTATATCCTTCCCGATTGTCTGAAAATGTTTTTACCACATGCATCTAAACTTGTGAAAGCTGGAACTCAACAGGGCTGCCTTGTTTTCCAGGTCTCGCAAGTTTTCCACCTTTGACAAGGTACGGTCTTACTACTTTTCTGTTGCTCTCTATTAGTATAAAATATTTGAGTTTTCCTTCTCTGACAGCTTTCTGCCTTACACAGGTTCTGTCTTCCACAGGTTTTACTGTATAATTTTACATTGGGGATATACATTTAAGGTGGAGTTTCGTATTTACGTGAACCTCGGTAAACACCATAGAACTATATTTCTTGGTATAGTTGCAAACTGTCCAAAAAGCAGGGACAAAGTATTCCTTCGAGAGAAACAAAACACCCCACTGACTCCAGCACCACAACCTCGAGCCCCTAATACAAATACTACCACTGGGTTGAGGTTAAGAACCCTCCTGTATTTTGAGCATCCCTCTTGTCCCTTTTTATAGATCATCACTGGGACGTCCTCAGGGCAATGACACTGATGGGTACAGTAACTAGATGCTGGAGGAAATCCAAGACGCAGGAGGATTTGGTTGAGACAGTGTGAAAGCAGCAATACTTAAGCAGAGCAAGGGTGGGGCCCAGAGGACCCTGGCGTGGCTGATCCGAAAATGACAATCTGGTCCTCCCAGAAAGGCATAGCCCTCTCACCTGTCCATCAGCACAAGGTCATCCTTCAGAAGGGGGCACTTGGAGTTGGGCCACATCACGCTCACCAGGCTACCAGCATTCAGCTGCTCATCCTGATGGAGGGCATGGGCCAACTGGTTCACAGTCTGATGGGGGAGGAGTGAAAGAACAATCAGGGAAGAGGAAGAGCCACTCAGCCAGACTTCCCGCACTACCTGGCCAGTGTGGTACCCCAACACTGCTGTCCAACCAGTCACACCTTTTTTTATTCCACACTGTGAGCTGTCAGTAAGAACCAACTAGGCTCTGCTCCCCCTTTTTTTTTTATTTTTTATTTTTTGTTGTTGCTGCTGAGACTATACACGTTAGAACATACATCAGTTCAACAGTTTCCACATGTACAATTCAGTGACACTGATTACAGTCTTCCAGTTGTGCAACCATTCTCACCCTCCTTTCCCAAATTGTTCCTCCCCATCAACAAAAACTCACTGCCCCTAAGTTTCCTATCTAATATTTTGAGTGGCTGTTATCAATTTGATCCCATACAGATAGTTCTTAAAAGAACACATGCTCAAGGCAGATATTCTTTACTAGTAAAGCTACACTGTTGTTTGGTTTTAAGAAGGTTTCAGGGGATAGTTTTGGTTTAAGGTTTATAGATTATCTCAGCGCAGTAGTTTTGGGGGTTCATTCAGCCTCAATGACTCCAGAAGTCTGGATTCTGTGAGAATTTGAAATTCTGTTCCATTTCTCCCCTTTTGATCAGCATTCTTCTATAGACTCTTGGATCAAAACGTTCAGTAATGGTAGCTGGGCATCATCCAGTTAGTTGTTCATGGAGACAATTAGCCACATATTCCATTTCTTCCTTCTATGGCTGACTCTCCTTCTTCCTCTGTTACTTCAGATGAATACAGACCAACTGTTATTAACTTGGACAGCCACTTGCAAGCTTTTAAGACCCCAGGCTCTACAATGAACTAGAATCACTAAACATATTATTAAGCCAATTAACTGGGATGTCCATGAAACCACGACCCTAAACCTTCAAACCAAGGAACCAAATCCCATGAGGTGTTTGAGTGTACATAAGCAGCCTTGTTACTTTTTTTTTTTGGTAGTTGTTGTAAACATATCACACAACATTCGCCAATTCAACTTTTTACAGGAGTACAACTTATTGACAGCAATTACATTAATTGGCTGAGCAACCCTACACTTAATAATCAATGTGATTTTTCCATTTCCACTTCTCTTTTAAGCTTCTTTCCTGGATATCTTCCTAAAGCTGAGCCTGTTCTACATTGATTAATTCTTTATGAACCAAAATGAGCATCTGGCCCCAAACAAGGACACAGCTGCCTCTCAGAAAAATTAAAATGTCCAAGTCCCTAGCTGATATGTCAGAATCACAGAATAACTTCAGGAATCACTCCGGCAACATTCCAAGGAAGAACAAGGCCCACTCCTTCTTTAATTAGCAAAGGGAGAACTCAAATGGCCTGCTTAGCGATACACAGGAACTGAAGGGTCCTGGTTCTCGGCCCTCCACATTTCTGACCCTCCCTAAAGCTCTCATATCCTCTAAAGAGGTACGCCTGAAACAGGGTTTCCCATATTCCGTGTGCAGGGAGGCATTACCCTCTCCTTAGTCAGTGCTGGTCCTGTCACCATGGACATGCTTATGGGTATGAGCCCAGACTTGATCCGCCAGCACGCCCAGGGTGGAAAGCAGGGCCAGGCGCTCTCCACCCACCACGGTCCCCCCACAGCACTCTCACCTTGACGCTCCTCTTCTCCTCTGAGCCTTCAGTGAGGAGGAAGGCCTCGTGGCCATCTGTGCCCTCCACCCGCAGAAAGCAATTGGTGGTGTGGCCAATCCCAGAGGGTAGAACTTTGTCCCAAAGCATGGCATTGATCACAGTGCTTTTCCCATTGCTCGTCCTGGGGGAGATACTGGCTGTCAGTGATGCTGTGAGGGATTCACCCTTTTGGCTTTCACAATGAAGTTCTTAGCCTGGAAGTCCAAGGTCGTGTGCTCTGCAGTATCACCAGCGCCCAGAAAAGTGGCTGCCACAGAGCAGGCACTCAGTGTTTATTAAAATTGAGAAACAAGGAGTACTTGGGTGGTGCAAATGGTTAAGTGCTGCACTACTAACTGAAAGGTTGGTAGTTCAAAACCACCCAGAGGCACCTCAGAAGAAAGGCCTGGCGATCTGCTTCTAAAAGGTCACAGCCTTGAAGACTCTATAGAGCAGTTCTACTCTGCACACGTGGGGTCACTATGAGCATGAACCGACTCGACGGAAACTAACAACAACAATGGTCTGACTCAACAGTCATGTGGTTAACCAATATTCTATACACAGGGTCAAATGTCTGTAAAGAGCCAGATAAAAACTAGGAACAAACTCCTCTGGCTCTGTGCCCACGATGTGCACCTGGGACATCACTGCAAACCAATGCTGCAGAGGGCTCAAGGAGGCCAGTTCCAGCAGACACGAACCCTGCCCCTTGAGGAACCCAGTCATCGACCATGAGCCTCTCAGCATCACTTCTGGAGACTACCTGTCTGTCCCCAATGCTAACTCATATCTCCTCTACCTGAAATTGCTGACTCACCTCCGAGGGGTGTCTTCCTCAGACCAGCAGAGCTAAGTGACCTAGTGTCCTTGCTTTTCACACAGGGCCTGTTTCCCTGCTCTTCTCCCCTCACACTCCTCATCCACAAAGTCCATCCCAGCTCATAACTGCCTGGCAAAGAGGGAAGGCTACTTTAGCACCCTTGCCTCTCACACCCCTTTCCCACATTCTGGTTCTTGAAAACAGCTCTTCTCAGCAGACATCTGCTCTGAGTCTCAAAGCTTTCAGTCTGGGCCAAGCACAATCTTCCTCGTCCTGAACTTGCAGCATTCCAGCTGCGTTACTTGCTTCACAGGCAAAAAAGGCCTCACCTGCAGCAGAAAAACATGAGGTCTCCTAGCTCACCCTAAGTAAGGGCCACACTCCCGAGGTGAGGATGAAGAAATGACAGCCCAGAGGAGCCAAAGGCCACATCTGAGGTCACAGTCATTAGGGACAGGACTCTAGGCACAGCAGCTATTCCTCAGCTCCCACTGTGTGCTGAGCACCCACCTGCCTGGGGGCCTGCTATTTCCTGTACTGGATTTTTTTTTTTTTTTTTCCTAAAAGTGCCTCTTACACCTCAAGGAGTCCCTGGGCAGTGTAAATGGCTAACGTACTCAGCTGCTAACCAAAAGGCTGGTGGTCCAAGTCACCCAGAGGAACCTCAGAAGAAAGACCTGGCAATCTATTTCTGAAAAAGCAGCTATTGAAAACCCTCTGGAGCACAGTTCTACTCCAACACACATGGGATGGTCATAAGTCAAAGCCAATTTGATGGCAACAGGTAAACTGGTTATTAGATCTCAAAGTGTAACAAGAAGGAAAGTGGAGGAATTCCAAGGGCATATCAACTGCTCCCTGCCTTGGGGCAGTCAACTATGATTTGTACAAAGTGTCTCCCTCCCTCCTAGCCAGGAAGAAAGAAGGTGTGAAGGCTTCAAGGACTCACCGGCCAAAAAAAGCCACTTTCATGTGCCGCCGTGCCAGCACCTCGCTGATGCCCCTCACTTTGGACAAGTAACCTCTGACGTCCAGAACCTGCTCCTCTGTCGTAACAGGGTCCAGTTCTGCATTCCTGTAGGTGTCTGGAGGTGGGGATTGAAAGTGGGTCACCACATGAGCAAAGGGGTTCCACAATCACAGTCTAGAAGGGACAGAGTCCCGGCCCTGCACACCCAAACCACCAGCCCCCACCACGGCACCCTGCTGTGGCCAGATTCCCTCCTGCGGTGTCCTATCCGGGCGAGTTGGGACACGGGTTGAGAGTAAGACTGACTGGCCTGGCTCTCACCACTTCCTGGCTTGGTGACCTCAGGCAAATACATCTTTCTAGGTTTCAGTTTCCTCATCCATTAAACTGAGATAACAGAATCTACGCATGTGATTACTGTGAGAATTTAATTAATTAAAGCACATCAAGTACTTAGAACAGGGCTTGGCACATGGTGAATACTCAGATGTTAACTGCCATCATTTATTTATATATTTTTCACCTAACAAGTACCAAAAAATTCTTACTACATGCCAAGCACTATTCTAATCACTTTTCAAACATGGTCTCATTTAATCCTTATTATTAACATGTCACACAGGTAGTAAATGACAGAGTTGGGATTTGAACCCAGGCAGCCTGACTCCAGGGTATGCCCTCTTAACCAAACCCACTGCTGCTGAGTTGAGTCCGACTCATAGTGACCCTACAGGACAGAGGAGAACTGCCCCCATAGGGTTCCCATGGCTGTAATCTTTACGGAAGCAGGTTGCCACAGCTTTCTTCTGCAGAACGGCTGATGGGTTCAAACTGCCAACTTTTTGATTTAGCAGCCAAGCGCTTTAACCACTGCACCACCAGGGCTCCCTGCCCTCTTAACCACTAGGTACAATTTGATAAAGTCCTGCCTGATCTGGCCCTGCTTAACCGTCCAGCCTAGTCTCTTGCCATCCCCCTGCCTCATACTCCCCCAAACTCGCTCAGCTTCCTCGCCCCTCTGAGCTTTGCTCAGGCTGCCTAAAACCCCTCCCCAACTCTCTGAAGAGCTAAAGCCCTGCCATGGTGGCTTGCCTCATTCCCACTTAGCCTCGGGTCTAGCTTAGACTGTACAACCTCCAGGAAGTCTTCCCTGACCACCCAACCTGTTAGATCCCCTTGTTTGTGCTCTCACAGCACCTACACCCCTCCCATCTATTGGAGCACTTCCCTATCTGCATCACCTACCAGGTGCCTGTGTGATCTCTGGCATTGCGCTTAGCAGGTGCTCAAGTGTTTGCTGAACAAACGGACACTGGGATCATGGCACTGGTTTTTCCTGAATGCCCCGACAGGCAGATGGATAACAAGTGATCACAGACAGAAGTGATTGAGGCAAGACCCTGCATGCCTATTGCATCTAGAACTTGCACCCACGTAGATGTTCAGCTGGTGGAAGGACATGGGTGTTTGGCCCCCTTGGCACACTCTTGCACACCACCAGCTGACAGGCCCAACCTTGAGCACACTCCCAAAGCACATGCAGCATGACAAGTGGCATTTCAGAGACAGCCCAGAGATTTTCCCAAGTAGCTGGAGCCATGAAAAGAAGTGGCCAAGTGTCCAAGGCTCCCTGTGTCCTCCAGTCACCCCCACCCCAGACCCATCAACATTCCTCCCTTATATGGGAGGAACAGCCACAGCACAGCCTCTGAAATGATCCTCAGAGGAGCTGGCTCTCAAGCACATGGCTACATTTAAAAGTAGCAGCCACAGGCTGACAACCTCTTGTCACCTGCCCTTTGAGACAGTCCCAAGGCAGTAATCATCCCCTACTCAGGGCAACCCACGCACATCTCAGGATCACCCCAGCACTCTCCTTCTACTCCACTGAGAGGGGAGGCCTTTTATTGTCACAAAAAGAGAAATCAAAGCACCCACTCCTGAGGCCATCCATAAACACTGTCATTAAGCACGTGTTAACTCACATCATCGTCTGCATAAATGACTCAGGGCATCACAGAAAGTCAGTCTTGGGCTTTAGGAGGACAGCGACCTGGTCTGCCCAACTTTGCACGCCCAAGACTTGGCGTGGTGCCAGGCGCACCAGAGCTATTGCTAAATAAATGGGTAATGAACTGGAATAACTTCAACCGTCAACCTTATGACTTTAAAATTCAGATTGTTTAATTCAACAAATATTTAAGAGAGCACCTTCTCCTGCACCAAGCACTATGCTAAGGGCATAGTGAGGAGAATGAAACTGGACATGGGTCCTTTCTTTCAGGGGAGCCTCACACAGAAGCCTGAACTACAAAACAATCAGAAGCCAAGTTGTTCTGGTTGCAAGCGGAGAGTGGAGAGAAGTGTATCCTCCTTCACGAGGTCAACACTGGGGGCATGACCGCTGAGCTTCTAGGGTTCTGCCAGACCAGAATTTAAAAATCCCTGTTCTCACTTAAGCCGCTCTTTCATAAGTGAGGAAAACAAGGGCAGATGAGACTCAGCTACTGGACATTTACAGACAACCTCAGAACCTGGAGCCTTCTAGAGAGGGAGGCTGAGAAAGTCAGAGGCTGGCGTTGGCGCTCAGAGTGAGGGAGGACCAGGAACCTGTCCCCCTCTGCTGATAGAGCAAGGACCAGAGGTTGAGCTCAAATTAGTAACTAGTGGGAAAGGTACAGGTGATGTAAGTTTCCTATTCACAGTCATGTTGCCAATCTAAAAATATCAAGGAGAGAACATTCTGGTCAGGGATAACCAAAAGCCAGACAGTGTCCAGTATTAATGGTGGCCAGAACAAGGCCCAGGAAAACACATGGGCTTTGGAGTCAGACACCTGGTTAAAGCCTAGCTCTGTCACTTACAAGCTGTTGGACAACTCTCAAAACCTCAATCTGCTGGCTTTTAAAATGGAGATAAGATTCACCTATCCCTTGTGATGAAATAAAACAGAATACATGGAATTCTTAAATACATTCTTAACTGGTAGTTCTCCTGCCTTCCCTGTCTAATCTCCCCTGAGCCCAATTCCACATAATTCCAAGAGCAGCATGTCACTGATGGCAACAACTCATCTGGGCATGAGCTCCCTAAGAACAAGGCTGTGCCTCCCACCCCGAGATCCTGCTAAATAAATATCCAAACTGACTGCAGTGGACCTCACTGAGCAGGCACCCATCTCACCTTCCAGGAAGGTGGTGCTCTCCTGGATGTAGGCCCCCAGCTGCTCAAAGATGCCATTGATCTTCTTCTTGGCAGTGACAAAGTGCTTGAGTGGGGAAGCATTCACCTCAGCCATGTGTCTCTTATCCTTCTTGACCGTGACAATTGAGTTGCATCGAGAGAAGAGCAGGGACATTGCGCTGCAAGAGAAGACAACATAAGCGAACCCAGGAATGCCCACCTCAGCACATCCCGCTAGGGCTATGGAGGGGAACAGTGGGGGGAACTGGGACCAGCTCTAGGTTCCAACCAGAATATGGGGCTTCCTGGGTCTAGATCAAAGGATGGTGAGTGTGATGGTTAAGATTGTGTGTCAACTTGGCTAGGCCATGATTCTCAGTGCTTATATGTGACCACTCCCATGACTGAGTATGCTATGAGTAGCCAATCAGTTGAAAGGGAGTTTCCTTGGGGGTGTGGCCTGCATCCGAATTTAAGCAGACATTCTGGCTTTTTCCTCATTCTGGATGTTGCAGCTGCCTCCTGTTTGTCTGACTTCTGGTTCGTGGAACTTAGGCTATCAGCTTATCTGCCCATCTTGGGATTTGTTGACCTTCACAGCCTGTGAACGGAGCCCTACTTTCTGACCTGCCGATCTTGGGTTCGCCAGCCCCTGCAGCTACGTTCATCAGGAGAAGGCTCGCGGTCTTGCCTGCCAACCTTGGGATCTGTCGATATCCACAGCCTGAGAGCAAGAGCCCTACCTTCCAACCTGCCAATCTTGGGTTCGCCAGTCCCTACAGCTATGTGAATCAGGAGAAGCATCTATCCTAATCCACGGACTTGGGACATTCCAACCTCTACAGTTGTGTCAACTGTTTCTTTGATATGAATCTCTATATATACATATTTATATGCTTTACTGGTTTTGCTTCTCTAGAGAACCCCGCCTGAGAGAGTGAGGTAAGAATCAGTGTCTCAAGAGTAAGAAGGGCAATATAATGAACATAATTAACATCACTAAAACGTACGTTTAATAAGTGCTGAAACAGCAAACATTTTGTTATATATATTTACCACAATTAAAAAAAGAGCATGAGAAGGGACCTCTCAAGACACTTGGGCCAGGCTCCACCTCACACGGCTTGAGCACTCAGAAGACTGGAGCCTGGGCCCTGGGTTCGGGCCTAATGCTGGCAGTTTCTTGAGTGTTGAACAGTGACAGGCCCTGCCTTCGCCACCTCAGAGAGAGACAGGGAGGAACTGTGAGGTAACACAGAGAAGTCCTCTTCTGAATCTTGGGCAGAAAAGTGTGACAGAACTATGACTTCTTTCCTATATATCATCCACCTGAGAAAAAGCATGGAATATTGAAACCAGTGAGAGCATGACGCTCAATGTCACCTTTCCCCAGCCACTCCGCTGTCCAGGAACCCAATGGCCCTGACTCTCAACAGGATTTTATTTTATTTTATTTTTTTTGATGAGAGGGAACAGGTACCCTTTGATGAAGGGTATTCTTCAAGTGAGGAGGGACACTACAATTTACAAAATATGTACACTGTAGAAAATGTGAAAACTAAAGGAAAAAAATCCATAACCCCACCATTCTTGAAAAAGCTCTGTTAAGATTTTGTTTATCATCATCATGGTCTGATTTTGTACAGGTCTCTCAGTCATACACATCTTTGTAACCTATTTTTTTAATAAAGCACTATCATGTTAGGGGCTGTGAGACTTGACTCCAATGTCCTAGAGGTCTTTGGTCAAAGATCAAAAGAGGCAGACATACCAGAGAAAGTGGTGGCCAGGAATCCCCGGCCCCAAAAGCAGGCCCCTGCCAGGTCCCTCCTCAGAGCCTCCGCCATGGATAGAACTACTGCCCCAGCACAGCCCTCAGGTCCCGGGAAGTATAAAAAAAAAAAAAAAAAAAGTCCCTTCCCAGGATGAGGGATAGTGTGCACAGCTGTGTGTGTACCAGGCTCTACCGTCTCCAACGCCCAAGCACATTCTTATCTGGTCACTCCCTTCCCAGCCACCTAATCAGAGTCATCAGCCCTCACCCAACTCAGCACTCAACTCTCTCCAGCTGGGAAATGAGAAGGCATTGCTCATAAGCACACACAGGAAGCTTCTAAAGGGAGCCAAAGGGTGTTGAACAAGTTCCTGAGAAACAGAAAGAACGTCTGGAAAAAACGTGCGATGAGTGGATGCCAAAGATGGCTCTCAGGAACCAATCATCCCAAAAAGTGGGCAGAAAGACAGACCCACACGGAGATGCGAGCCAACATGTTTTGCCCAAACCCACAAATTATTTTGCAATGTTAATGATTTCTGGAGAGATGTAGGAGGGAAGTGATCCTATTTCCATTTTTACCTCCCCCCCCCCCAGTATAACACATAGCTGCAAGAGACCGTTTTCCTAGCATAGAGGCCATGTGTCAAGAGATAAAGTAAGAGAAAGAACAGTCCTCTGAGACGGGCAATTGAGAATGAAATGACACTCTGGCTCCTCCACAGCCAAAAGGAGAGTGCACTGCAATCAGGCTCTCCATGGCCCAGCAGGCTATGCCCAAGCTCTCAGAGAAAAAGAGCAGGCAGGCGGGCAGGCAGACCACCCAAAGAAGAAAAGGAGCCTGGGGTGGGGCATGATGTAGCATTGTAGATGAGCGATTTTTGGAATCAGACAGAGCTAGGTTCAAATTGTGACCATAATATCTGTAGGCTGTAAAACTTGAGCAAGGAATTTAATCTCAGAGCCTTGGTTTTTTCATGTGGACAGTATGATACCCTGTAAACAGAAGACAAAAGACAATGCAAGCAATATGCTTAGCATATCACAAAAGCTCAAAGGTAGCTTTACATATTAAAAAGCAGTATAATAAACTCTACCAGCAAACTCACAAGACTCTCTCTAGAACACCGGCCTTCAGGGCAGGGAAGGGGCAAGTCCACCAACACACCCACAGCACCTACTTGCTGCCATGGCGATGGAGTAAACAGGTCTGCTAAGTGATAAGCAGCAGCACTGCCCAGCCCCAGAAGTGATTCGCTTGCAGGCAGCAAGTTCCCTGAGATCAGCTGGGCTTTTAGAAGCAGATGCTTTTAAGTTCTGGTCATTGGTGGCAAGTCCAAAGGAAATAAAACCAAAAGCGTTAGTGTTCAGTAAGTGCAAGATTCAAAGACATGCACAATAGTAAGAGCTTAGTGGGTCAAGGTTACAAAGCCTGCTAGGAGTTCAGCTTGTCCAGGAGCTGCCCTCTGCTCTCGCCATTACCCAGACTGCAGCTACATGCCCCCAACCCCCTGGGTGGAACCCTCCAAACTCTCCAAACTCTGTCTATTTCTCTGGTTCTGCTAATTCCCAAGCTAAGATTCTGTGTTTGCACTGCACATGCTGCTTTTAGCCTGGAATCCTCTTTTCTTTTTCACCCATTTGGCATACTCCTATCTGTCCTTCTACACCCAATTCAAGTGTCACTCCCTCTGTGAAGCCTTCCCTGACATCTCCATGGGGACACACAACCTTACCAGACCATACCTGTCTCTCCCGCTAGTCTACAATCTTCTTGAGAGCCAGTCTTTGACAGAGAGCAGGTCCCACCCCGGGGTGGGGGGTGGGGGTGGTTACCATCTTACCCTTCCATCCCTGGAATACACAAAGCCACTTTTTTTCTTAAAAAGCAGCTGTTAGCTAAGCATCTGTTTCTATTTGGAACCCACTGAGTTAACAGAGTTTAATAAACCTTTCAAGTTCCAGAATTTAATCCTTCAAAAGAACAAACTAGACATACACATATGCACAAAAGGACCAAAACTGCAAAACACACACACAGATGCCAAGACAGGGTCCCCTATCTCAGAGCTTCACCTGCTGGCTTCCTACCCTTCCAGTGTGATGGGAAGCCGCTGGCTTCCTGTATCTCCTCCGGAAAGTGATAGTCCCTACTTCACCACAGGGCTAGCTGCTGGTCCGAGGGGTGGGGGTGGGGGGCGTGCCCCAAGCATAGCTGGGCCAGAGAGCCAGCTCTAATATCAGCTACACCTTAAGTGACACAGTTAGAGCTATTATGATCCTCAAAGTGCTCTTGAGATCATCATTTCTCAATAGTTTAAGGTAGCTTAAGGCAGAATTCTCAGTATGGTCCACAGAACTCTAGTTGTTCTCAATGCTCCATGTAAAAAGGAGTCTCTAGTAGAATCAATTTGTGAAGCACCATATGCTACCGCCCCCTCCGTTGGAGCACATGAGCACAATAAAGGCTTTGGGAAGACCTGTTGTAAACATACATTTAACCATATTTAACGTAGCATTTCACAAATTTATCTGACAAAGAAACCCTTCTTTTGCACAACAGCCTTTAAAATCCCTAGGATCACTCTGGGAGAAGGCTCATTTATCCTGATAGTCCCCTACTCCCATTCCACAAAAAGTGCCGAGGGCAGAGTATTAATAGACATTAACCTAAGATCAGAACCAAACCCAATTCTAAACTGAAATTGCTACTAACACTCCAAAGTCATCAAAAGCTTTGCCTCAACCTAGGCTATTAGTTGAGAGGTATTAGGCATCGTGGATATAGGGTGAGCAGTAGCAGAAATCACTCCAAGGTGTGTTTGGATCCCAAGCACGGTCCCTCAATCCACACCGCCTCCTTACCCAGTTTTATGCACAGCAACTCCTAGCAGGTAAAATAAAATGGATCCACGATCGTCTGCTGGCACAAAGAACAGAAGAGAAGCTGAGAAATTGAAACAAAAGAGTATACAGGGTAGAGGGGGCAGTGCAGTCTCTTAGAAGAGCTGTGACAAGAAGCCAACCTCTGCTGGACAGAGAAGGGAGGAGAAGAGCCAGCATAGCAGAGAACAAGGGAGATAAGATACTAATGCTTGAGGGAGCCCAGGAGATCCCAGCCACTTTCTGAGCTGTCAGTCTTTTAACAGTCTCTTTTCTCCCCAGTGAAATTCTCCAGGAAAGTAAAAAGAAACTTGTTTTGTGTGCCATTGTGTTGATTCCAACTCATAGCGACCTTATAGGACACAGCAGAACTCCCCATAGGGTTTCCAAGACTGTAATCTTTTCGGAAGCAAATTTACACAACTTTGCAGAGCAACTGGTGGGTTCAAACCGCCCACCTTTCAGTTAGCAGCAGAGTGCCTAACCATTGTGCCACCAGGGCTCCTTAGAAAAAAACTACAGTAGTTTTTGTTTGTTTGTTTTTTCTCAACATGGGTCGGAAAACTCCAGCTCTATGTAAAGATGACCTCATCCAAGAAACCTGCAAGTGTATGGCCAGGAGAACACATCCCTTTCCACTTGAGCCAGGCCAGCGTGCCAGAAGTCACAGCTACTACTTACTTTCTGGATGGTGTGAAGATCTTCACAGGGTGGGCATCATGGGCATGGCTGGAGTCAAAAAGACAAAAAGAATTTGGGCTCTCCTCTGTCCTGTCTCAGTTTGAAGTTGGTTACTGATTTGGTTGACTCCACCTGACTTTTAGGAAGGAAAAAGAAGATGTCAATAGGCAGCAAAAAAAAAAAAAAAACTGGTGTATGAAACAGATTTTGAAGCCAAACTAATCCCTGAGGGAAGCTTACTCATTGAGGTACTCAGGAGCTGGGCTGGCATGTGAGGAAGTGCCCTGGGGAAAAACACAACACAGAAGCATGAGGCCAATCCTATGGGTACACAAACATGTGTTCAGCCATGTGTGCAAGGCATCAGGGAGGTCCTCGCAGGGACCCTGGTAAAGGCACATCAGGAGAGGTGAGGGGAGAGGAAGGAGCAGAACCAGGACAAGGACTGGGCTTGAGGAACTGTTAGGACTAGAGGTGGGAGGTAGGGGTGAGGAAGGAAAGTGGAACATATTAAAGATCTATATGTGGCACATGCTTTACAACAGTGTCTTCCTTAATTCTCAGCTCTACGGGTCAAACAGAGGTTTGGAATACTTCCAAGATTTACAGACTGCTAGTTAAGCCAAGAGGAGCCCTGGTGGCACACTAGTTAAGCCCTTGGCTGTTAATCGAAAGGTCAGCAGTAGTTCAAACCCACCAGCCACTATGCAGGAAGAAAGATGTGGCAGTCTGCTTCTGTAAAGATTGCTAATGTTAGACGCCACTGAATAAGTTCCAACTCATAGTGACTCTAAGTACAACAGAATGAAACACTGCCTGGTTCTGTGCCATCCTTACAATCATTGCTATGTTTGAGCCCAGTGTTGTAACCACTGTGTGAATCCATCTCATTAAGAGTCTTCCTCTTTTTCTCTGACCCTACACTTTACCAAGCGTGATGTCCTCTTCCAGAGACTGATCCCTCCTGATAACAGGTCCAAAGTACATGAGACGAAGTCTCACCATCCTTGCTTCTAAGGAGCATTCTGGCTGAACTTCTCTTAAGACAGATTTGTTCATTCTTGTGGCAGTCCGTGGTATATTCAATATTCTTCACCAACACCATAATTCAAAGGCATCAATTCTTCTTCCATCTTCCTTATTCATTGTCCAGCTTTCGCATGCATATGAGGTGACTGAAAATACCATGGCTTGGGTCAGGCGCACCTTAGTCCTCAAAATGATAATCTTTGTGTAATCTGTAAAGATTCCAGCCCTGGAAATCCTATGGAGCAGTTCTACTCTGTCCTATAGGGTCACTATGAGTCAGAATCGACTCAATGGCAATGGATCTGGTTTTTTGGTAGTTAAGCCAACCTGGAATTGAGATACCATCTTCCTTTGACTCCAAAGCTCACTTGTTTTCAACTACATAGAGCTACTTTCCACCCCGTGCGACGTGGTAAGGGTAATGTCAGAGCCCTTTTCAAGGAGGGAAAAAACAGAGAAGATAGAGAATTTAAAGAAATAGGGCAACGAGGGAATACAAGAAGAGAAGGAAATGCGCACTTTTGGCTTTACGCATCCAATCATCTATTTATTCCATGTGCCTGGTCCAGTGCTAAGTGTAAGGAATGTTATTGTTGTTGTGTGCCATTGAGTCGACCCTATATGACAGAGTAGAACTGCCCCATAGGGTTTCCTAGGCTGTAATCTTTAGGGGAGCAGACAGCCTATCTTTTCTCCCGCGGAAGGGCTGGGTGGATTCGAACCGCTGACCTTTCAGCCAAGCGCTTAACCACTGTGTCACCAGGACTCGGCGCTAGGCATAGGGATGGATAAAAAACGGTCCTTGCCTCAGAGGGGCTTACAGTCCGGTGAGAAGTCATGCAATAATAGACTGTAACAGCGCAATAAGCGCTGAAAGTGGGGGAGCCCAGAAAAGGAGCTTCGGGCTGAACGTGGGCACCTGTCAGCCGCTGAATAAATGTTGGCAGAATGAAGAGAGCTGGATGAGAAACGGGGGAATGGCGGGGGTGGAACGTAGCCATGAAGGCTGGGAAGGCGGGAACTATAAGGAGCCTCAGGGGACCCCACGCCTCAATCCCGGTTCCCGCGTCCCGCCCCCTCCTCTCAGGGCCGCAGAGGGCCCGGCGCCGAGGCCGGAGCGTGGACACGTCCGCCTGCCAGGACCCCGAATCCTCGGGCCCCCAGCGTCCCACCGGTTCACGCTGGGCTGTTCAGGACTCCCCGGGTCAGGCCGAACCAGTCTCCACCACCCCGGCGCGCTCACCCTCTCACCTTCACCTTCCCGGCCTCGCGGTGGCCATCATGACAAAACGTCACCAGCGCGCGCCACCCGGGGAGAAGCGGGAGGAGGAAGGGAAGGATGCGCCCGTCACCAGCAGCCGCAAGTTTGCCGCTCTGGCTCCGGTGAGGTGGGGGGGCTCCGAGTTCAACCGAACGACCCAACAAATCCCTATGAAGCAAGTGTCCTCGGGCTCAGCGCCTCGTCGGGAGGAATCTCAGCGGGCTCGTTCACCGCCAGGGCGTCCCAAGCCGATGACGTAGACCCTCGGGACTCGCTCTGCATCACGGGTGCTGTAGTTCCGGGAGGCGCCTGTCAAAGCTGGCGCGGGTGGGGTGGGGCGGGGCGGGACCTTGAGCTGTCAAAGGGCAAAACAAGGGCGTGGGTGAGCGGTTCCTGCTCTTTTGTTTGCTGCCCCAAAGCCTTACCCCAAGACCTCTGCCAGCTCTGGAATCCAACCTGGCATGTGTAATTTTAGAGAAGAGCTCCCGAGTTTAAGGCCGTTAGGGTGAGCTGACTCACCCAGGGAGACAGCAACTAGCTTGCGCCTGTTGCCCTTCAGTTGCCTTTGAGGAAGTTAAAAAACAAACAAACAAAGCAACAGCCTTAGGGTAGCTTCTGACTCATAGTGACCTCATATGTATCAGAATAGACCTGTGCTCCGTAGGGTTTTCAATGGCTAATTTTTTATAAGTAGATTGCCAGGCCTGTCTTCCCAAGTGCCTCTGGGTGGACTGGAACCTCCAGCCTTTCGGTTAGCAGCTGGTCAAGCACGTTAACCGCCTGCACCTCCTAGGGACTCGTTTAAGGAAGTCAGAATTGCAACAACAATGTATCAGCATCTACTAAGTGCTTGTCACTAGGCAGGTAATATGCATCATTTTATGTAATCCTCACTACAGTTCCAGGTAGCTCAGAGGGGAGAATTACCCAAGCTCATATATGGTAGACCACTGGGCCCCTCCTATGTGCCAGGCACCAGGATACAGCAGTTAACAGGTCTCCAGGGAAGCCAGCAGCCTCACGTGGCTACTGACCCCCTGAAATGTGGCTTGTGTGAACTGTGATGTGTGTTAAGACTTAGTATGAAAAAGGAATGTAAAATATTTCATTAATATTATGTGAAGTATTAATATTTTAGATACACTGGGTGAAAAAAAAGTTATTAAAATTAATTCCATTTGTTTCTTTTTACTTTTTAAATGTGGCTCCTAGAAACTTTTAAATTTTGTGACTGGCTCCCATTCTATTTCTACTGGGTAGCCCTGCTCTATAACCACAGTAGTATCTTGCCACAATTACCTCTAGAGGCAAATCAGTACTTGGGTGACCAGCTTATCAGTCCCCTGGGAGGCACAACTGGTCAAAGGGAGACTGTTCTGCCCTCACTGCCCTTAGTGAACTAGTAGCCCAGTGTCCTGAGAGCCCAACTCTGGAGTGTGGGGCAACACCCAGACCCTGTCTTGGGGTTTGGCCAGGCCTGCCTGGGATGTGGCCGCACTGGGGCCTGTTACTCACTGCCTTTACTGCTGCTGTTTGTTTCCTCCTCCACTGCTCTCTGGCCTCCCTAAGAGGACTGTCAATTCTTCCATTTCCTTTCCCTTCTTTGGCAGAATCATGCCGAAGTGAGGTAGGGGCCTGGAGGTCCTCCCTCCTAAACATCTCTCCCATCCATTCCCTCTTCACTAGACCTCCTTGCAAGCTCTGGCTAGGTCCTAGTCTCTTGCCTAGACAACTACAGGAGCCTCTGAATCCATCCCCAGGCCTCTAGTCTTGCCCTCCACCCGGTACCCGGATTCTCTGTGTGAAACACAGCTCCTAACAGTGAGGGCCCTGCTTAAAACCGCTAGATAACAAGACTCCCCAAGAACTACCCACAGCGTTATTGGGAAGGAGTGGAGGGCAGAGTTGGTGTGTACTTGCAGGAGACTTTTTCTTCTGCATTACCTATTTCTGATTTTTTCCAGCGGACAGGAATTATGTTTGTAATCAAAAAAAGATAACATTAAAAACAACTTTTAACACACACACACACTGCTTATATATGCACAGACCAGCTCGGGAAGGATACCCAAGGAACAGATTAGCTATGGTCACTTCTGGGGGGAGGAGCTGTGCAGCCAGGGATGAGGAATGGGAGAGAGATTAAGATTTGTGTTTTATTTTACTGTGGGCCAACTTGAAAAACAACTTTAAAACCTTTAAAATGCATACACACAATCTCTGAATGACTACAAGGACCTCTGGATAAAGTCCAAACTCTCCTTAGCCTGGGAAAATAAGCCTTTACAATCTGACTCCACCAATTCTACCTGCACCAGCTGGCCCGCATTCTCTGACCCCAGTGCCTCTAGCACTCTG